TTCAAGTCTGGATTTCAAAGCAGTGGTTCAAAAGGTTTTCGCAAAGGCAATTCAAAAGGAAAAGATGAACTACTTCAGCGTATTGCCAGAACGCACTGCAAGAAGTGTGGCGAACTAGGCCACTGGAAGGCCGAGTGTCCCAACAAGGCCAAGGACTCAGTGAACATCGTGACTCAAGAGGCCTTCGATGAGACCGATCAGGTGGTTTTCGAGACCTTGAGCCTGACCGAGATCGAAGAGGTTCACATGGATGAAAGAGTTGAAGGGTTCATCAATGAAAGCAAGTGTTTCCACATCGAGCATGCCTTCGTAGGAATTCATCAAAAGCTTAATTCAATCGATCCTAAGGGAGATATCAAAATAAAAATGCAGCAGTTTTTTTGCAAGTCGGTCAAAGTCTGTGCATTTTGCCAGGCAGAGAGAGCAGAGCACCCAGAACCCGATCCTGAAGGATCAAATCCGCCTGTTTCCAAGCTGTACCAGTAAGACGGTCAAGAAGCCTTCAACACCCAAGGCTATGCAATAGTTGACACCGGAGCCAGCCGAAGTGTCATAGGATCTGAGAACCTTCCTCAGATGATGCAGTTGTTGAACCCCGCCACTCGAGCCCGCGCCAAGGAAAAGGCAAGCTGCATAGGATTTCGTTTCGGGAACAACCAGATTGAGTACAGTTTTAAGCAAGTATGGATCCCCATAAGGAATGGAGCGCAGCAGACTTGGTTGGTGATTGAAGTGGTTCCCAAGAGCGCCCCATTTTTGTTATCCATTCAGACCATGCGAAAACTCGGAGCCGTTCTCGATTTGCAGCAGGGAACCTGTTTTTTTTGCAAACGCTAGGTAAGGCCATTCCTTTGAAGCAAGGCACCACAGGTCTTTTGATGATCAACTTAGCCGATCTTTGTCAGAAGCCAACCAAAGCCACATTCGTTGCTTCATCCAGTGAAAAGCCAGCAGCCAGTGTCGTGTCAAGAGTCGTTGATCAGCCGGAGCCGAAGTTTCCCACCAGCCATGCCGACCCGTGAGGAAGTCATGGAAATGATCAGAGAGACGGCAGATGCAGTGATGCAATTGCTGAAACTCTTGTTGACCATGCTCATGAACCAGGTCCAGACACAGGTGGAAGTGACTGCCGATCAACTCGTGCCGAACGAACATGCCTTACAGCTGCAACACCTGATGCAGGAGGTCCAGTGTCAAAAGACCATGTTGCAGGAGATTGCGAACAACCTGAAGACATCAGGAACCCCATCCACCTCGGGGACTCATCGTTTGACAGAATGGGTCGACATCGAGGAAAGAGAGATCCATCGCTGGGAAGACGAAATGACGATGATGAGCGAATCGGCCAAGGTGCCTATGCCGACGAGTCCAACTCGTCCCAAGTCGGCACCTCAACCGGCAAGTCCATCGACACCAAAGACAGCAAGTTCCGCAATGTTGCCTGGACCAAGTGGAGCCCGATCCCGTCAGACAGAAGCACCCATGTTGAGTGGACCCATTCTGGCCCGTGGAGGAGCTCGCCGATCAGACGAAGGGGTGACGGAGACCGAATTCAGTGCCCCACACGGCAGGGATCTTGCTTGGACCCAGGATGCTAGGCAAGATGTACTACCAAGTGTACGAAACAGACGACCAGTACACAAGCTGGTGTTTGTCCCGACTGGAGCTGTTCGCTGGCGATATGTCTGTGACTCGCGGTGAGCTCCAGGAGCTGGTTTGAAGAACAACCCAACCCTAGGTTCATGTCCTGCCAAATGGTTTTTCCCCTGCGAAGGCCGGTTGCAATCTTTAGCCTTGGATATCAGATACAACGAAAGCATGAATCTAGCGACCCCAGAAGGCTTTATCAGTGCATTGTACCAAGCAACCGGTTGCGCCCTGGCAGTGGCTCCCTTGCTGCCCCTGTATGTTCGACGTATGTGTTTGTGACCCTCAGCTGTACATATAGCCAAAGCTTTAGTGTCCTCTTTGTTAGTTAGTTTCTATTTCTCGAAACGGCGCCCATCAAGTGTGGTTAAAATGAAACACAAGCAACCCCCTGTTTTTCTTCGAGTTTTCGGAGGTTGCTTGTGTGTGTGCTCCCAACCTCTCTTGCAACCAAAGTGGGTTGATCTCCCGCAGCTTGATACCAGGTCTAGAGGCTCTACAAAGCGCTCAGCATCAAGACCGCTTGGCCAGGAAAACTATCCATCTGTTGAAGCTCGCCTTTACTTAAGAACCTCAAAGGCAAGTCATTCCTTGCTGAAGGGTCATGGTAAGGAAAGCCCCACTATACACAAAGGACGCCCTCTTTCTAGCACATGTGGATGTAAAATCTGGAACAAGAATTCTGGGTGTGCAAACGCATGATCGCTTGGAACCCACCCAGGCTCTCGGCAATGTGCTCTGCGCTAGAACCCTTTTGGTTTTGATGGTTGCAGCTACTTTGGGCTGCTGGACAATTCTGGAGCAGCCCCAGAACAGTTTGATGGAATGCCACCCAGCGTTCCAACAACACCTGGCCATGGTCAAGACAGTAAGGGCCACGATGAACATGGGCGACTATGGCGGACCGTCGGCTAAACCAACGTGGTTGTATTCTTCGGAGCAGTGCATTGACCAGTTACACAAGTTCCGTCCTCGCTACATTCCGGAGCAACAAAAGATTGAGCTTGTAGAACACTACATCGACAAATCGGGGAAGCCCAGGATCAAGGGAGGAGCTCTACTCAAGAGCTCCCAATCTTATCCCCGCCCGTTTCCCAGATCTGTTGGTAAAGCGCTTGTTCTTCAGTCTCTTCTGGGCGACCCTAAATTCCCTCCCTCCCCAAACGATTGGTTTGGATGTTACCACTCTGGATTTCTTCATTTGAACCCTAGGTTTGGGGTGGCTTTAGCCAAGCTCAGATCCGCCCATGAGAAAGCCATGAAACAGAAAGCACGAACCCTGATCAAGACGGCTGTACAGAAGTTTAGGGCAATCCCAAGGAGTGTCAGGCCAATCCAAAATGGCCAAACTGGGCTAACTTGCAGCCTATTTTTGATGCCTTGGCTTGAGGCAAGGAAAAATACTTCATGACCTCAGCCCTTTGCCAAATTAACAAACCGGCGCCAACGGGTGTAGCCTGTTGGGATGGTTTTCCAAGGTCCAAGTGCCCTGAACAGCCCAGCTCGGCGACAGCCTCCTTAATTGCGCGAAGAGCCCCGGCCAGGTCACCAGCTGGTCCTGGAGTGGTGAGAGATTGGGCCCACACCAGTTGGTGGGGAGTGGGTGATGGAGGCTGCCCAACTGCAG